TCCCCTGGATCTTCAATAGCAGTTGCTCCACCCTATTGAAATCTGAAATGATGTTTCAGTTCTAGGCTTGTTATCATATTCAGAGAATTGTTATGTAGTGTATTTTAATTGACTTATTTTTATTTAAAAAATTATGATGATGATGAGAAGACGTGATTCGTACTTGGAAGAAAAGCCCAGGATCTTCAAGTAGTAAATGTCTCCATTTTAGTCTTTAAATTAAGTTATTATCACACGAGAAAGCCTACGTTGCAACTGGAAAAGTATTGAGGTAGTAAGGTGTATATAAATAAGTTGTTTTCTTCAACAAAATCTGGTAGAACCGCAAATAACGAGAGGTTTGATCTGAAACTGTATTCCGCAGTTAAAAGATTATCTTGATTTTGATTCAGCGAGAAATAAAATGACACAGTGGAAACAGGCTTTATTCAACGCTTAAACTCTATTGAACTTGACAAATTTACAAGACGAAATACGGGCCTTCACGGTCGTTTACTCTCTCTCAAAATTCTCGCATAAACTTCGCAAGAGTATAATAACTGAAGAACTAGTTATTAATTTTGGTTGTTAAACTTTGAAGAGAGTTTCACTAACTAAACAAAGAACTTAAACTTGATACCAGATTAGAGGTTTTAGCTTGAGAAATATTGAGCTCAGAGGACTAAAAGAGCCTATTATTATATATGAGATCTTACACTGTTATCCCCTCAGGATTCTTGGACTATTTACTGTTGGTCATTCCAATGGAGCAATATGAGGTTACATATATATAAAACCTCAAGGTATCACTTCACATGCTAGTGGAAAAGATAGCTGTCTACTACTAAATAGTATGCTCTTCTGAAGTCGATATATTTTTCAAAGTTAGTGGTGATGGATAAAGTTTTTGGTGGTGTCAAGAAAACCTTGATAATTCGGTAAAATAATATCATGTAATATATCTACAACCACGACTAATGTCCATACCGTTGTTATACTCCACCCTCCAGTGTTTCAGTGGTAATTCTGCAGGTTGACGACGCTATAAATCGGGTTTCGGTACCCATGGTATGCAGAGCACAGATAGCATACTTTGTAGCTTTGTGCTTAACAACAACCAACCGTTGTTATAATCTTGTCCACTAATACTTGTTGTTAATAAAATAAAAGTATAATTAAATATAAATCTAGAACTTGTGAGCCGAAGTTAGAACTTAAAAATGTGTTGTTAAGTAGAGACCATATAGCTTGAAAAAATTCGTATATTGTAAAACAGTGATAATTTTTATGAGCGATAATATCATAAAAACAACTGTGCTTACTAAAATAAAGCATTCATTTAACATAACTTTTTAAACTGCAATGAAAGTATCTTTTTAATATTAGCAAAAGAAAGAGTAAAAGATAAAAAAAACACAAAAACTAACGTTTCTATTGTTTTTGTTTCAAAGTCTTTAATTTTATCTTTACATTCAATAGAAGTATTGATAATAATAATAAATGGATTAATTTAAACGCCCTTTAATGTATTTCAGAAACTTTAAGGACGAACAGAATTTCAAATATTAATATTATGATGTTTTTTTTTAGTATTATTAAATCCTAGGTTAAAATGGTGAAACATTTATGGTAGCACTAAATTAATAAAGGTTAAAAACAAATTTAAATTGGGCTGATTAGTTTTATGCGATAAGCCACCGTAGTTCTTAAAATCAATCAAATAAAAAACTACATAATTTGATCAAAACTGAATACAGGAAAGAAAATTTATATTTATTTGAAACATACTTCAAAATATGAAAAAATAAAACAGTAAAATTATGATATTTAAATACGTCATTTAAACGTCTACTTAAAAATCAAATCATCATTACGTCTCACTTCAGTCTATATATATAACCCTGGTAGAGATTATTTTTCAATACAATTGAAACAATAGCTAGTCTTGTATGTATGAATGGGTAGTAACATACACTTGTCATATGATCCAAATAGCCTTCTCTCCATTATGTGGTATTGTGCATAAATTATTATTATGATTGACAACTCACTTCAGGCTAGCTTAATTAATTGTTCTGATCTATGCAATGCTAATGCATTTTAATATCGTGTATGGTTTCTGGGGTACCTAGCGTGGCGTAGTTGTTAGTTTATTGGACTGTGGATCCGGTTGTCTTAGATCGAAGACGTGGTAATACCAAACATGCTTTGTACTTTCAATTGTGGGTGCACTATAAAGTAACAGTCAATACCATTATTCGGTTAAGAGTACCTATTCCATGCGACGAGCACTGCCGACTGCCCACCTTCTCTCTGGTTCGCAATTCAAAATAAGAGCAATCAAAGAGACTGCATATCCCCGTCCCACCGCTCCTTTTTGGGATTGCATGCATTTATATTGGATAACGTGAAATTTCACCTTCGAAAACTCAAAAAATCCTTCTCAGATACAGCATGATCAACGATCCGGATAATTTTTTTTGTTGTATTTTGATGAGGAGTTTTAATCTTATTGTGCCCATGAAATTTGGTACAAATCCGATCACACTTTACAGAGTTATTAACCCAAAACCGCGAAAATGCCATATCTCCCCATTATAAAAAAACACTTCAAGTGATCCGGATACGGATTTGCATCTGGATCAAATTTGGGGAGGACTGTTCTATACTGACTTCTCTACTTGTGTAAAATGTTCATGTACATTGTTTTATTAGTTTTCGAGATACGCGTGCAGAGACAGACAGACAGACACATACACACAAGAACCCGATTTCAATACCTTCGCCCCCGGAGACATTTATGCCTGAACCATAGGTATTTTGTACCGGGTAAAAAAATAAAAAAATATTTCTTGATTTATATTTTTCAAGGATTTTTAGTACTGTTACGTCAGCGAGGTCACGTGACTAGTATCACGCCACCTCCTTCTAGAAATATCCTGTTCCTTCGTGAATTGTCGGGAGACTACTAGATTGGGGAAGTCTGGTATATATAAGACGGTCACAACGTGACGGAACAATGTGTGTAATTGAAGTGAGTATTGTTGAAGTCGAGCACGTGAGACGTTTGTTGAGAATTATAGTGTTTGTTATAGAGCGACTGTTGAAATTAAGTATATCGCAAAGTTGTATTCAGAGAGAATAAACCAGTTTTATTTAAGAAAGGACATGTGTCGCTAAAGTTTCGTCGGAACGAATTTACGGAAAATTAACTAACGAACGGAGACGTAACAAATTGGTGTTAGAAGTGGTGTATAAAATAAAAAAGAAGAAGAAGATGAAAACGAGAGGCAGCAAATCAAATTACAGCTTAGAAGATTTGATGGCAGCAATACAAGAACAGCAAAAGAAACAAGAAGAACGAGAAAATAAACAAGAAGAACGAGAAGAGAAATTACAGCAGTTGTTGGAGGAAAAAGAAAAGAAATAAGAAGAGAGACAACAGCAGTTGCAAGAAAACCTGCAACAGTGGCAGCAAGAACAGCAAAATAAACAAGAGAGATTACAACAGTTGTTGGAGGAAAAAGAAAAGAAACAAGAAGAGAGACAACAGCAGTTGCAAGAAAACCTGCAACAGTGGCAAGAAGTACAAATGGAAAACATTAGTAAATTTAAAAGCAAATTAGATACATTAAAGGATGATCCATTGTCTTTTACACAAGGAGGATACATTAACCATCGACTTAATCAGCCCCAGACAATGGCAAG